ATTGTCCTGGAGTGCCCTAAGTTGAGCAGACGTGGTAAATTGCGTCCTCCGCCGGGTGGGAGTTTCTCAAGATCCGCTTATTCTGTGATGGGCGGGTCTGATTCTGGTTCGCATGGTGAAGGCTCCTCAGTGTCGTCAGCTCAGGGAGGGTCAGCGGTTTCGCCCTCCATGTCGTTTTATCCTGATTTGGTGCGGAAGCTTGTTCAGGAGGTTCTCCAAGAGGCCCTTCCCTCCTCTCTTACCTCTGCATTTTCCACGGGTGCCGCGTCAGGTAATATTCGCTGGCTTCTTGATTCAGCCGCGTTTAACCATATGACTCATGTTCGCCATTCGTTTCGTACTATCCGTTCGTCGCCCCATGCCCAGCTTGAGGTGGCGAATGGTGACCGTCTCTCTGTTCTTGGCTGCAGGTCTTCCTCTTCTGGCCTGGTTACTCTTCCCAATGCTCTTTATGTTCCCAATCTGGTTCGTAGCCTTGCATCGGTTGGGCAGTTGATTGAGGACGGGTGTAAGGTCACATATAATTCTGGCGGTTGTATTGTGCAGGACCAGAAGACGGGGAAGGTAATCGGGACGGGAAGTAAACGTGGCCGTGTCTTTGTGCTCGACGAGCTTCGAAGTTCCGGGAAGGAGACTGCCAGGAGTAGTGCAGTTCCGAGAGCTACGGAGGGCAGGGCGGACGTGAAGGAAGTGGATGTTGGTGCTGTGGAGTGTCCACATAATGATGATGTTGCTGCCGTGGAGTGTCCACATAGTGATAGGGATGGTTTTTTTAGTCCATTTCATATTTCGGATGGGTTGGCAGATTTGCCTTTGGATTTATCATGTATGGATGATTTGACTTCTGGGATTTCGAGTTATGCAGTTAGATCATTGGATTTTTCGGTTTAAGGTTCTGCTTGGGATCTATGGCATCGCCGATTAGGTCATCCCCATTTTGCTCGGTTACATACTATGGTTCTACAAGGGTTATTACCTGATCGTATTGATTTGGCTTCTCTGTCTCATAATCCGTGTGTTAGTTGCATTGAGGCAAAGATGTCACAGATTACATTTTTTCCTAGTGATACTGTGTATGAACATCCTTTTGACTTGGTTCATACAGACTTGTGGGGGCCATCGCCAGTTGTAGCTCGCATGGGATATCGATACTTCGTGTTGTTTATAGACCATGCAACTCGGTATTCCTGGGTTTTTTTTCTCAAACAGAAATCGGAGCTGGAGACCCTTGCCAAGCAATTTGTGTGGATGGTCAAAACTCAGTTTAATAAAACTGTTAAGATAATTAGGTCTGATCCAGGAGGGGAATTCACCTCTAATGATTTGCTCTTGTTCTACAAGACTGAGGGGATTCTTACACAGCAGTCTTGCCCCGGGGTTTCACAACAAAATGGGGTGGTAGAACGCAAGCACAGACATGTTCTTGAGCTGACTATGGCTCTTCTGCATCACTCTCGGGTTCCTAGTCGATTTTGGGTAGAGGCAGTACACACTGTTGTGTACCTGATCAACCGTCAAATAACATCGCTTCTGGGACAGAAATCACCGTATCAAGAACTCTTTGGTAAGCTTCCAGATTACTCCGGTCTGAAGGTCTTCAGATGTGTTTGTTTTGTCTTACTACCTCGTAAAGAACGACATAAGTTAGCACCAAAAACAGCACGATGTGTGTTTGTGGGATACAGTGAAAACATAAGGGGTACTTGTGTTATGATCCGGTGGATAGGAGGATGAGAATTTCATGTCATGTTCTTTTCCTTGAACAAGTGATGTATTACTTGTCAGAGAAATACGAGCTGCCTACTGATGAGTCACTTGATTTTCTCACTCCCCTGCCAAGCTTTGCCGAAGCTATTCCCCATGCACAGCATGCACCCACGTTGAGCGAAGGACAAGGCTCAAGTGAGGACTCTTTTGGTTCGCCCACTTCATCGTCGTCTTCCAGTCCAAGATCACCTCCATCCGGCGCTTATTCTTCTTCTAGTTCTTGGCCGTCGACACATGGATCGGATACTGTCGCGGGCGGGTCTGGGTCAAGCAGCCCGATTTCATCGTCGTCCGCTGAGGGAGATGGGTCACCCTCTCCGGTTATGGTTCCTCTCCGCCGGTCAAATCGAGCTACGCTTGGCCAGCCGCCAATCCGAATGCAAGATTATGTGGGGTACTCCGCTGCCCCTATTGTTATTCCGTCGAGTTATGCTGAAGCGGCGAAGGATCCGCGCTGGAATGGAGCGATGACAGAAGAAGTGGATGCTTTGGAAGCAAATCATACTTGGGATTTGGTTCCGAGAACACCGGAGATGTCTGTGATAGGTTGTCGTTGGGTATATAATGTGAAGATGCTCTCTGATGGGACTCTAGAGAGGTTCAAGGCCCGGGTCGTAGCTCAGGGATTTTGCCAGGAGTATGGCATTGATTACGAGGAAACTTTTGCACCGGTAGTGAAAATGCAGACCGTTCGTTGTGTTTTTGCAGTGGCAGCAATGAAGGGATGGCCTTTGATTTAGTTAGATGTGAAGAATGCCTTTCTTCATGGTGATCTAAAGGAGACCATTTATATGGAGCGGCCACCTGGATATACAAAAGGTGACTCGAGCATGGTTTGTAAGTTAGTAACATTGTTATATGGGCTCAAACAGGCACCCCGTGCCTGGTTTGAAAAATTTCATGGTACTATCATTCAGGATGGGTTTGCTCAGAGTCAGAATGATCAATCATTATTTACTCGTCTCACAGTTGATGGTATTATTGTTCTGCTTATCTATGTAGATGATATGGTGATTACAGGTAGTGATGCAGAGGGGATTGAGTCATTGAAGGCATTGCTGAACCGCTCCTTTAATTTGAAGGATTTGGGGAATGTCGAGTACTTCCTCGGGTTGCAGGTTCTTCGCTCACCACATGGTCTATTCGTCTCGCAAAAGAAGTATATAACTGATTTGTTGGAGACAGCTCGGTATAGTAAGTGTGTTCTGTGTGCTACACCAATGGAACAGAACCTGCGGCTTACTCGAGAGAGTGGAGAATTACTAGAGGATCAGTCAGCCTATCGCAGCATCGTGGGTAGTTTAATCTATCTCACTCACACTCGTCCGGATATCTCCTATGCAGTACAGGTTGTGAGTCAGTATATGGGGATAGCTAGAACTATGCATATGGATGCAGTTCACAGGTTATTGCGGTACTTGAAGCAGACTAAAGAGGTGGGATTGTTCTTTCCAGCATCAGGTGAACCTGTGATAGACGCTTTTGCAGATGCTGATTATGCAGGTTGCAAGGACACTTGACGGTCTACGTCAGGATGGTGCATTCAAGTAGGGAGATCTTTTGTCTCATGGCGGTGTCGGAAGCAGGACCGAGTGTCAAAGTCATCGACGGAAGCTGAATATAGATCAATGTCAGAAGTAAGTTCGGAGATGGAGTGGCTATTTCGGCTCGTAGGTGAGCTAGATATGCTGTGTCAGCATCCTATGAGGATATATGGAGACAATACTAGTGCAATACAGATTGCTATTAATCATGTATTGCACGATAGGACAAAGCACATTGAGGTACATGTGCATTATATTCGGCAGCTGATTGCAGAAGGTACGGTTCAGGTTGGATATCTTTCTACAGAGGATTAGACTGCAGATATTTTGACTAAGGCGTTGGCTTCGAGTAGACATTGGTTCCTCTCATCCAAATTGATGTTACGCACCCAACATCAATTTGAGGGAGGGTGTTAAAATGTCTACTATTATGTACTTAAGTGTAATTAGCCAGCCGCCTAAGTAACTATATATATGTAACATGTATCTCAGAAAACCCTAACACGAATAAGAGTTTGCCTTTGGAGAGTTCTATCTCTCCCGTGGACTTGTCCTGATACTCAGGGAAACCACGTTAAATCCTCGTGTTCTTTACTTCCTGTTTGCTAAATTGACACAAACTTGGTCTCAAGGAGAATTGTGAGCTGCCTAGAGATGTGCAAGAACGGCTACTAATGTGGTTGTTGATGTTGTGTTTCATGTTGCTCAATTGTCACTTGTGGTTCCATCTTGACAGGATTCATTCCTCCTCATATCGTTTACAATTTGGAGCTATTGCTACCAAGGATGTGGTGATATGTGGAAACATGCGTTCTTCATTGGATTTATTGGTTGCATCACCTTATTGTCTCTCTATTAAAGGGTCTTTGTAATTGGAGTAGTTCATGTTGTTAGGGTGTGATGGTGCTTACTATGGTAGCTCAATTTGTCCATTGTGTTTGTTGTGGTGGTGCTCTAAAACACAACACCTAACAAAGGCCAAGTGTAACCAATGAAAGGGACTGCAGTATAGTGGCTCAAGTGATAAATATCGAATCCACGGGTCTCTAGAGTTACTATTACTCAGCTTCAGTTTATTATTTAGCAAATCAGATTAAGATGAAAGAACTAAAACTACTCTAGCAAACTACAGTTAAAGTTAATCTAATTACAGGTTGGGAACTCACTTAGGTATGATTCCCCCTAGCCACTAGCCAGATTAATGATTGATGATCTCTAACCTGTTTCACTTTCATTCACAATGCGGAGAATCCTTGACTAGACCTTGAGTCTCGACTAAAAGGAACAAGGCCCTCTTGAGTCAATTGCCTAGAGGGACGTATCCTTCTCTAGAACAACTGATCAAGGCGTTCTGAACTAGACTCCCTCTATCGAAAGAGGTTCTCAATCGATACAAAGCAGTGAATCAACCCTCGACTAAAGCAATCGATCCACTACTATCAATCTATGGTGCTCTATTGACCTAATCAGGTATTCCCTCTCATAGAATCAAAGCAGAATCAATAATCTCGACTAAAGCAGAATTGAATCATGAAAACATGCATAGATTGAATATGAACTCAAGATTATCAAGTCAGAGTACTCATACAATCATCCAATCAAACAAACATAGCTAGGGTTCCTCAAAACCTAAGTGAAGGGAAGTTACTCCATAGAGAAGAGAGAGACTGCAGTAAGAATATTCAGATGATCAGTCTTCAAGTCCGGGCTTGTTCCTCGAGCTTCCAAGGCGAAGAAATCCTCCTTCTCTACTCCAAGAATGCCCTCAAATCGCCCTCTCTCTCTAGGGTTCGTCCCTTGGGTGTTTGGGATCCAAAACCCAGCTCTCCCTCTCCTTTGGCTCGAATTTGGGTTAAAAACAGCCATTCCCGACTCGCACGGCCAGGGTGCACGGCCGTGCACATCACCATTCTGGCCGTGCACCTCAAAACGCGGCGTATCAAGTAGTTGAACCTCAGCCAACTCGCACGGCCAGAATTGTATGTTGCACGGCCGTGCGGATTTCACTTGTGCCCGTGCGTGCCCACGCACAATCCCGCACGGCCAAACTGGTCACTTGCACGGCCGTGCGTGGCCACCCTGGTCTGCCCGTGCAGCTTGCTCAGCCTCTGTTTAATGCTTCGTTTCTCCCTCGTCCGGACTCCGAATCAGTCGCCGTTTGAACCCAGACGCTCGTAGTCTCGTCCTCTTTCGTTTCATAACAAGCTTGCACGCTTCTTTGTCCATAAAGTGAGGTAGAAATCCATTCTTCTTCAGGTCATGCCCGAGTTTCCTCTCTCGAATCGTCAATTGATCTCTGATTGACTTGAAACTTGCGCCTATGCTTCACTTTATGTGCTAGGAACTGAAATGGGACAAAGGAACACAACCTAGCATAAAATAGGCCACAACACACGAATATGCCCCTCAAACGGATAAGAACTAGGGGCGCAAACATGTGCAATTACATCGTTATCAAACTCCCCCACACTTAACCGTTTGCTTGTCCCCAAGCAAACCTAACTCAAACCAATGCAACTCTCCAGACCTCTATAGCAACAAACAACATAGATCATAGGTAGAGGACTTCCTAGATCATTTAGCAGCTTACGAGGTCAACCGACGCACAAGTCATCTCATAGCTTCTTCGGTCAGTCGGCATCATGGCAAACAGTGAACAGAGGATAAATGAATTGTGGATGAAGAGATTCTCAAAAACAAAAGATCATGGACTCACATTTTTCAAGGTGCTCGATTTTCTTTGAAGATGGTTGGAACCCCTTTTTTCTGTTTTGCTTGTTTTCTGTTATTTTTCTTTTCTTTTTTTCTTTTCAAGGGTCCCAACCTGCTCTTACCGGCCATGCCAGGAGCGGATGTCTCGAGCCTCGTGCGGGGGAAAGACATGTAAGGGGGCTGGAGGTAGTAGGTGGAAATTGGGAACGGATTCCCGTCTCCCCTTACACACTTTCGCCCTATTCGCACGGGAGACGTTTATTTTGAAGCACATTTTCGAGCACCTGTTATTTTCAAAACATGATACAAGAGTCCATGACAGGTAGAAAATCCACAACACCACACAATTCAAGGGTCCTAAGATCACTAATTCACTCAATCAACCAACTCAATATGAAGAAGACATGAGACTTCTTAAATGCATCAACATCCTCCATAGTGCTACACTACCTCCCTAGGTTGCATATTACTGTAAAGACTGTCAATTCAAAGCATACTGAGCAGGCAATTGCATGGAACACGTACTTGGAGCCCTCAAATTTAAAAATTTGGACAGTGGACTAGGCTCCAAGCACACAAACAGCCAAACATTCACCCGCATACATAATCGAACATCCCCCCACACTTAAGCACGACATTGTCCTCAATGGAGGAAAGATAAGGAGGGTAGAACGAAGTTACCAGATCAAGGGTGAATGATGATGTACGGGTCAGGCGGTGCATTCCAGAAAGAGAGAGTAATCAGAACACAAACACCACACAAAATCTCACAAAGGTTGAGTTATTGACTCTAAAATCAAATAACAAAACTGACTCAACCGAGGAGAAATAGAGAAAGAGATGCAAACCGACTGGTTGGGTTGCCTCCCAACAAGCGCTTCTTTCACGTCGTGAGCCGGACGATGGCTCCTAAGTTTCGGTCCATGCTAGAACCTCCTTGAAGTTGAGGTTCTCGTCGATGAGGTGGAGTCTCAAGTCACGAGCATGTGGTATGACAGGTGATGGAAGCTCGTGTACTTGATGCAGATGAAGTCTCCACCCTCGAGACCTCTCCTTCTCTTCTCTCGTCTCATTGCCCCAAACCAGATATGACAGCATTGATTGGCCACCATCGCGTCCACCAAGAGGGACCGATGTCGAGGTGGCCTTGGTCTGGCAAAGAGACACTGCAAATGGGTCCTTGCCAAGCAGTTCCTCAAAGTTTGGTGGAGATATCACATGTAACTCATGGCCGGTGCAGGCCTCTTCCACCTTAACTCCGTCCTCAGCCTGGACGCCAATTGCTTCTTCAACCTCCCTTACTTGTTCGTGTGGTATCACCCCTGGGAAATGATCAAGAACTCCTCCTGCTTCACTTTTGTCATCCTCCACAACTTCTTTCTGCACCCTTTCTTGCTCTTCTTCTTCTAGCACGGATTGGAGAGCAAGTTGCCAAGCAATTTCTTTCATGAGATCTTCTTGCATCTCCTCACTCATGCCCGCCTCTTCAAAGCTCAGTTTGGGGTGTGGGAAGGTGTGGTCGACTACGACATGACAGGCCTGATCATGATCATCACGGGAGCTCTCCGTGACAACTTCAGTGTGTTCCACAATGCCCTTGTAGCCTTCTTCTTCCTCCTCCTCTTCTTGTATGGTAGCAGAAGGGTGATCTGGAGCAGGTTGCGCCCAAGATCGCTCAAGATCATCGACGCTCTTCTTAAGGCTCAGGAGGATCTCATCTGTTTCACGATAGGCCTGGACACACTGATCCATCCTGGAGCATGTTCTCTCACAGTCTCGAGCATACTGCTCCATGAGTAACTCCAGCGCCGATGGCCCTTCTGGTTGTGGGAGAAATTCTTCTTGATAATGAGGTTGTTCTTGATATGCCCAGGGGTCCGGTTGTTCTTCGTAGTAGGGGGGTTGGTACTGGAACCCGAATCCATAGTCTTCTCCGCCTTGATTGCTCCAGGGAGTCTCGGGGTAATACCACCCAGATGGTGGTGGATACCCCCAATGATTGGAGAAGCCATTAGGATCCATGATTCAGATCTGCACCAACAAAAACAAAAACACCCAAGTGAAAAGCAAGGGTGGAAAAGAAAAGAAAAGAAAAATGCTAAAGTAACAAACTTCTGCCTTTCCTAATACTCTAGAAAGTCCCCGGCAACGGCGCCAAAAACTTGGTGCTCTAAAACACAACACCTAACAAAGGCCAAGTGTAACCAATGAAAGGGACTGCAGTATAGTGGCTCAAGTGATAAATATCGAATCCACGGGTCTCTAGAGTTACTATTACTCAGCTTCAGTTTATTATTTAGCAAATCAGATTAAGATGAAAGAACTAAAACTACTCTAGCAAACTACAGTTAAAGTTAATCTAATTACAGGTTGGGAACTCACTTAGGTATGATTCCCCCTAGCCACTAGCCAGATTAATGATTGATGATCTCTAACCTGTTTCACTTTCATTCACAATGCGGAGAATCCTTGACTAGACCTTGAGTCTCGACTAAAAGGAACAAGGCCCTCTTGAGTCAATTGCCTAGAGGGACGTATCCTTCTCTAGAACAACTGATCAAGGCGTTCTGAACTAGACTCCCTCTATCGAAAGAGGTTCTCAATCGATACAAAGCAGTGAATCAACCCTCGACTAAAGCAATCGATCCACTACTATCAATCTATGGTGCTCTATTGACCTAATCAGGTATTCCCTCTCATAGAATCAAAGCAGAATCAATAATCTCGACTAAAGCAGAATTGAATCATGAAAACATGCATAGATTGAATATGAACTCAAGATTATCAAGTCAGAGTACTCATACAATCATCCAATCAAACAAACATAGCTAGGGTTCCTCAAAACCTAAGTGAAGGGAAGTTACTCCATAGAGAAGAGAGAGACTGCAGTAAGAATATTCAGATGATCAGTCTTCAAGTCCGGGCTTGTTCCTCGAGCTTCCAAGGCGAAGAAATCCTCCTTCTCTACTCCAAGAATGCCCTCAAATCGCCCTCTCTCTCTAGGGTTCGTCCCTTGGGTGTTTGGGATCCAAAACCCAGCTCTCCCTCTCCTTTGGCTCGAATTTGGGTTAAAAACAGCCATTCCCGACTCGCACGGCCAGGGTGCACGGCCGTGCACATCACCATTCTGGCCGTGCACCTCAAAACGCGGCGTATCAAGTAGTTGAACCTCAGCCAACTCGCACGGCCAGAATTGTATGTTGCACGGCCGTGCGGATTTCACTTGTGCCCGTGCGTGCCCACGCACAATCCCGCACGGCCAAACTGGTCACTTGCACGGCCGTGCGTGGCCACCCTGGTCTGCCCGTGCAGCTTGCTCAGCCTCTGTTTAATGCTTCGTTTCTCCCTCGTCCGGACTCCGAATCAGTCGCCGTTTGAACCCAGACGCTCGTAGTCTCGTCCTCTTTCGTTTCATAACAAGCTTGCACGCTTCTTTGTCCATAAAGTGAGGTAGAAATCCATTCTTCTTCAGGTCATGCCCGAGTTTCCTCTCTCGAATCGTCAATTGATCTCTGATTGACTTGAAACTTGCGCCTATGCTTCACTTTATGTGCTAGGAACTGAAATGGGACAAAGGAACACAACCTAGCATAAAATAGGCCACAACACACGAATATGCCCCTCAAACGGATAAGAACTAGGGGCGCAAACATGTGCAATTACATCGTTATCATGTGGACTTGAGGTCAATGAGACAAATTATGGTGATGAAGCAAGGCATCAGATGCTTTCATGGTCCTTTGTGGTTCAATAACTGTTATTGGAATTATTAATCATGAGTTTCTAGATGACACAAGGGGATCTTGGTAGCCTTTCAGCAACAGACCTCCATACGCAGGAATCAACAGTTGCATCTTGCAACTCACTGCCTCTCTAAATCTCTGTTTTGTTGAGTTTATTTTTTGTATCGTTTCGGACTTAAAGACAAGTATGTTCTCAAGGGGCCGAGAGTTGTAACAAACCAATTTAGGAAAAGGATTTAGTTGTAAGTAGCAGGAATAGATGGACTATTTCAAGTATTGTAAAAGGCATAAATCCTGCATCTTGGTGTACTGTGAGAATTAATCGAATAGCAACATAATTGCATACCTCTTATTTTCTTTTTTTCTTCCTCTGCTCTCCTCCTCCACCTCCTTCTTCTTCCTCCTGTTTGTCCACTAAAACTCAATTTCTCTTCTTCTTCCTCCACTATTCCTCTTTCTGATCTCCAATTCCAGTTCCATCTCTTGCTCCATCAGCTCGCCATGAAAGATCCAGATTGCAAAAGGCTATGTCAAAAAGAGTAATTGAGATGGTTGAGATAATATACAGAACAACTTTGCCAGGCTTGTGGGAGGATTCTAAGGGGACAGAGTTGAAAGCCCAACAATGTATAAAGCTTCGTAGAGCTAGCAGTAGGAATGTACTCAGTTCCATATTGATTTAAACACAGATATAATTAGGGATGACAAAAATATCTATAATCATGGATACCCACCCAAATCCAATATAATCGGATAGGGTAAAACTCAAACTCGAAAGATTTACAGTGGGTATGTGTAAAATCCAGTTATTGACGATAATGGATGAGCATTATTCTCTTACTATCCAAACCGAGTCCGCCCGATTATACACATGCATATGTATGTTATCTATAAATGGTCACTATTTTTCTCAACATATTTTATATTTATTATCACACTTTTGATTGATATAATGTCAGTATATATGTGAATATTAATATGTTGGTTGGAGTTATAAGGAAAAATTGGTATCCATGAATAACCGTAGATACCCTTAATTTGATCCAATTCTTGTGTGGGTACGTGTAAAACCGTAACTATTTTTGGTAGGGTAATGGATATGCGCTATTCGTTTCCGACCCGATCCATTACCATCCCTAAGTATGATTTGCTCAGTGTGTTGGGTTTTAGTGGATGACAATATAGGTACGATAGCTGAAAATTTGAAGGCTAGGATTGTAATAGAGTCGTACGTTCGCTTTTCAAAAAAGAATATTTTCAAGATTTGGGTAACGGGAAATGTCACCCGAGAAACTATAACCACTTATAGGTTCTAAACTTAAGAACGCTAAAGCAAAGTTAGAAGTTCCTGGTAAAACAAGAAGAATCACTTACATGGTGTATAGTATCATTAGTCCCACACATATTTATAGCGGTTGAATCCTTACATTACTTCATGAAAGATTGTCTTTATTTATAAAGTTGTATATATTTATAAGGTTGTCTTTAGCGTACGAGGGTATAACTACGATCATCCAAAACCAGGAGACTAGACTTTGATATGAATTGTGTGAAAAGGCAGCTTGAGTTGGCAGACAGAGCATGCCATGCCTTTGAAGGAAGGAGCTGCAAAGTGAAGAACACGAAGAAGATTGATTTAAGCTTATTCACTTAAGCATGATCAATCAGTGGCTCAGATGGAACACATGCTAGGTACAAGTGGTAATAGTAACCAAAATATTTAAAAGGCAACGTTTACATTCAACAAAATTGATTAGATTAATTAAGTCTTGAATTACCACTTGGCGAAATAGGATTAGTTGCTAACTTATTCTAGGGTTAGCACAATACTAACTAAACTAACATCCATCAAATTAAAAAATAATTCTAGGATCAGAACTTAATGGAGGATAATTTAGTTAATATTCTCTCAAACCCTTGTAGAAATACTATTTTGCTATCAATCGTCCCGCATATCTCTCAGCCGCTCACGTCTCTCCCACTCTCTCTCGAAAAACTCAGAACCATCTTCTCTCTCCGTGAAGCAACATTACTCCCATCTCCAATCACTGATAACATCTAAAATAGGCATGCTTTAGCCTCTATTTCTAAGGCATTCGTTAAATCACCCTGTCTAGGCCACATATACAGTTACTTACGCCTATTTTTGTTCATATTTGCAAAACATCCATTTTGGCATATGTATTCTTGATATGAAGGTTTTCAGAGGGGGATCGACCCCAATATGTCATATTTTATGCTTTCCCAATTGTTTGTGATGAAATTTTAGGTCTTATATGCATCCAGGATTGATCGGGAATCAATTGGAGTTCATCCGAGCTTGATTGGGAAGCATAGGAGCAAGAAGGGGAGAAGAGGCACTTGATGGAAACCTACTTTTTAGGTTTAACCATAATTAACAATATTAATATTATTAGGATTTATCTAGATATGGTTATTAGTCTTTGAGCCATATTAGGATAGTTTATTAGGTTTTTCTAGTCTTTCGCTATAAATATGTAATTGGTCTTTCATTCATAGGCAGTCAAGAAGAATATTAAGAAACAATCTCCTAAACCCTATTCTCCCAATCCTCTCAATTCTCGTTCCCAATCCCTCTAAAGGCCTAACCCGATTCTCTATCTTTCTCTTCTCAAATCCCTAATTCTGTTCTTAATCCCTAAATCCCCAATTCCCGATAGAATCCTAGAAGCAGGTTCTATCATTTGGTATCAGAGCCAACATGAGCTCTTCGTGGCTCTCTGATCCATTTTGGAACCGTATGATGCACCGACTCGATGCAATATGCGCCGACCAAGCCGCGACGGCACGCGAACGCGGAAGGGAGGTGGTGGCGGCGGGCAGCACGGCAGGGCTGCCTGAGGCGCGGGCCTGGCGGGCGATGGTGGAGGCGCCGCCGCGTGAGGCGTCGCTGGTCGTAGCGGCGATTTTGAAGGAAGAGAGGTGGAGCTGGGGTCGACTTCTCCTCACCGGGTGTGCCGCAACTCGGCGATGAAGGAAGAAGCGGGAGAGGCGCCTCGGTCGCTGTCATCTCCATGCGCCACGACGGTGGCCAGGAAGAAGAAGCCAGAACCGAGGGCGGCGTCGGATTTCGGCGTGACTCGCAGCCGCCGGGTGGAAACGTCGGCGGCGGCCGGTGCGACGAGGACGACGAAGACAGAGGAGGTTGGTGGCGGCTTGTTCTCGCCTGTTGCATAACCTAGGTCGGCGGATGTTGGTTGGCCAATGCTGCAAGCCGCCGGGCTGGACAAAGAGATCCGGGCCGCAGCTCTGGAGTGGAGACGAGAAGCGGGTCTTGTGTTTTGGGCCAAGTGCTATGCGTGGGCAGGGCAGCCATACGGGCCAAAGCTGGAAAGAATGGGCCAACCTACTCAAGAAAGTCATGGGCTGCATCCTCAGGCAGTTTGTGGGCCTCAGTTGGGATGTCTAGTTAGGTCTCTTTCTTGTGATTTCGGGTCGAGACTAGTGGGAAGTTGGCCGTTTGTGCAAAGAAGGATGGAGCCCAACAAGGGTTGTCTTTTAAAGAATGTGAGCTTGGAAGAAGATGGGTTTATTGGGTTTGCAAAAAGCCCAATTGAGGAGAGTGAAGCTGCATGGGCCATCATAATAGAATTTGAAGTTCTTGACAGATTGATACTCAAGGATGGATCCTTGTACAAGAAAGAAGCAAGTAGTGGGCCCATGAAAGTGAAGTTCGAAAAGTTGGACCAGCACAAGAAGGTCAATGTAAGAGGTAGGTACAAGTCGAGTAGTAGAGCAAGATTGGAAGAAAAGAAAGTGCAAGAAATGGAGGATCAAATGCGCGGGTTGCACGAACGATGTGAAGAAGTGGGTCGAGTTGGTCAACCTTGAGGGCAAGGTTGGTTTTCAAGGGGGAGGGGATGATGGAAACCTACCGCTTAGGTTTAACCATAATTATAATTATCAATATTGTTAGGAATTATCTAGATATGGTTATTAGTCTTTGAGCCATATTAGGATAGTATATTAGGTTTTTCTAGTCTTTCGCTATAAATATGTAATAGGTCTTTCATTCATAGGCAGTCAAGAAGAATATTAAGAAACAATCTCCTAAACCCTATTCTCCCAATCCTCTCAATTCTCGTTCCCAATCCCTCTAAAGGCCGATTCTCTATCTTTCTCTTCTCAAATCCCTAATTCTGTTCTTAATCCCTAAGTCCCCAATTCCCGATAGAATCCTAGAAACAGGTTGTATCAGCACTGGTCACAGCCGTGACCACCAGGCTGTGACCATGTTCGCAGGATGAAGATCGCGGCCGTGAATAGTAGTCGCGAACTTTAGTAGGCGACCAAAAGAAGGTAGAAAGTTTCCCCTGTCGGATCGCGCACATGGCGCATTTTGACCGCAAAAAAGATCGCACCCGGGACACAAAGATCACGACCGCGATCTTATGAAGGAGGCCGCGATCTCCGAGCTTGAAGATGGAGTCAAAACACGTCGTTTCGGGCGATCCGGGGCCGTCCAGCTGGTCACGACTAGGTCACGGCCTGGTCACGACTCTGACCATTGCGTCGTGCCCGTGACCATCACGTCACACCCTAGAGGCCTTGATCGCCATCAACTTTCTATAAATACCGCTCTTGCTGCACTTTTCAAGGGAGAGCCGACCTAGAGTGAGAAAGTTAGGATTCTGGGTTGTTTTTAGGGAGGGAAACACCTTGGGAGGGCTTAATTGAAGATCCAATCCACCCAAGGATCAAGAAGAAGGTGCAAGAAAGGAGAAGAATATTGATTCCATCACTCCCTCTCTTCTAGTTTGTGTTTTCTCTCTCTCTATGACTTGAATCTCTAATTGTTGTGTAGGGAAGATGAACCCTAGTTTATAGGTTGTGAATGATTGGGTTATGTTTGAATGTGTTTATCTAATTGATTTCATTGCTTCTCTAGCTTCAATTGTGTTTGGGTAAGTCGCCCTAATCTTCTCTACTAGTTTACTTGAGCTTCTACGCTGGGTATGGAGTTTTAGGATTAGATGGGTATGCGCCATCAAGGAAATTAGGTTAGATGATGATAAAGATCTTATGATGGACGAGGCGACCGTAAACCTGTCATAGGAATGCCTTCCTAGAAAGAACACGAGATGAAACCTCGGTGTGAACGGTGGGTAGTACCCACTGAAATGAGCTTTGTTCTTAATGCCCCAGATACGATAGCCTAAATCGAAGTGACTAACATGGGTTTAGAGGAGATAATTTACTAGAACCCTAGCTAGGTCATGCTTGGCTTAGTTAAGATTGAATAAAGAGTGTGCAACGAGTTATAAATTTAAAGCTCAAGCGATCAAATTTTTTGCGCCGTTGTCGGGGAATCTTAAGTTGTTATTGAAAGCCGAGAACTACTAGTTTAATATTTGTTGTGTCAGTGTGTTTTGTGCCAAGTTTGGCGTTGTTTTATCGCGTTTTGTGTTTGTGTAGCATCAAGTCTTTGGTGCCTTTTTCTTGTGTTTTGTGCTTGTGATGTCATATTTTCTTTCTCATATAAGACTTTTGTTATGTTCCCTTTAGTTATCTTGTGTTAAGTGTTTGTCACTTTTTGTTTTATTTTCTTTTTACACTTGTGCTTTCATAGGTGGTTTTTGTTTTTGTGAATATAGATAGTGTTTATGTGTAGCTATGGGTCCAAATGGTTGGCATGAGAAGTAAGGAGATCACCAACTACCGAATTGGTGTTATCTTGAAGCTTCTAATAGTGGTGATAGCCTAGGATCCAGGTATGAAGAACAACCACCTCTCCATGCCTATCAACGGTACCCCCAAGATTACTACCAAGCATCTCCACCATCATAACAAGAACCACATTCACAACCTATGTTGAAGATCGATTTGGAGATGGCCATTGAGCGACTTAAGGTGAGTACGTCATATCTAGAAGGCCTTGAGATAACTCATTCGACTCCAAACCCCGGAACCAAAGAGCCTCTTGGAGCTCGAGTTAGAAAAACTCATGGTCGGGAGTGGGAGTGCACTTCATCATTCACCACCACCTACACAAAAGAGCATTGGAGAGTTAGCATTCGAGCGCTACAACATACCAATGGAGTGCCTAGATGCTAGCGATCCCAACCTTCCTCGAGGTTGTTTTTGGATTAAAGATCTTGAACGAGAGGAACGTTAGCTCCAAGAGGTGGGGACCGTAGGGACATCTTGCATCAAGGAAAGTCCCGACCCTTCTACTCAAGACTTCCTCAAAGAACAAGAAGAGATGCTCAATAGGATAGAGAAGAACGGAAGAGTTTTGAGCAACTTTGCTCGAGACTCAATCAAGAGTGTCTCTTCGACATCAAGAATGAAGCAAAAGAGGAAGTGGTAGAAGAGGAAGAAGTCTCAAGGGTGGACAAGCAAGTGGACCTTGAAGATCCATCTATGGAAGAACTTGCTTGTAAAACCATCATTGCTCCTAATCATCAAGAAGAGAAAACTAAAGCAGGGAGCATTGATGAGGTTGTGAGGAAGAAAGGAGAAAGTGAAGAAGAGTAAGATCTTGGTACTCAATATGGAGAATCTTCACAAGAAGGAGAGGAGGTTGAAGATGTGATTGAAGTCCAACCAATGGACAAGGTCGAAGTGGATGGAACTTCCACAAGTTACGCGTACTACTTAAGCTTTTGCGGGTTCTCTTTGCCAAGACAAGGCCGAGGCATCATCAATCTCTCTTGGTGGATCTGGTGATGACCCTTCAAGAAAGCTTGACTTGGTTCGAGGCAAAGTAAAACAAAGAAGATTTGAAGAGCGGTTTCATTGGAGGTGTCTCAAGCAACTACATCTACAAGAGCCTTCACCGAATGATTGGGAGACTGATCAAGGCTTGAAACTCCACTTAACCGATGAAAACCTCAACTTCAAGAAGGTCTCGAGCTAAACTGAGTACTTGAAGAGTTCCAATGGACTAAGGTGAAGGGCAAATGATAAAATATTGATGTGTTGTTGTGTGTTGCATGTTTATGAATGAATGTATATGGTTTGGAGGCCTTGGTGGGTATGAATTGAATGATTCAAGATGTTTTGATTGTCTCCCACCAAGTGCTCGATGGAATGCCCAAATCACATAATTTGTGCTTGTAATGTTTTGATGCATGCCAAATGAACTTTAATGCTGATGTTAGCCCCCTAGTAGCATGTTTGAGGGGTAGTTTCGAATCTTGATCGATTGATATAAGGTGTATGGACCCTTTGCTCACCAAAGCTTACCACTTTGATATGAGTTTTGAGCAACCGGTCCATACCCCTACCTTAGTCGTCTAGGTTGTTTATTGCCTTTGGCCACAACATTAATACACCTAGAATGACATGTTGTCAATAGAACCAATCAATCAAGATTGTTAACTAATTAATTCGACATTGTCTTCCATTTTGCACCCTTGTTTTGCATAGTAACCATCAAGTGTGGGGTTGTATAAGATTGGATCCTAGGGATGAAGAGAAGTGTTCAATGAATTCTTCAATTATTGATGAAATGTAATTGGAAAGGATGGGTATGGATCATTTTTGTGTGTGTGGGAACCTTTATAAGGGTTAATCCTTTGAAGAGGAGAGAGTTCAAATCCTTCCAACACCGGAGGTGGTAAAATCTTCAAAATTCCAATCAATGGAGAGACCGGACCACTTGTAACTCCACCCAACGATTTGAGTCTCATGCACCACTACACCATGAGCAAGAACATCAACAAAAACTAAGAGTGTCACCTAGAGATCGAGAGACCGAGCCCAAAAAAGAGAACTTCTCAACTTTGGGAGGAGATCAACCCACCCACCCTACCCTTCACTCCCACAATCTCTTTGTCTAAGCATTTTGGTACCTTCGTTCCCCTATCCTCTTACCATTCTCACATTGAGGACAAAGGGTTCCTTAAGTATGGGGGGTTATGCATGAATGCTTGTGTGGAAAGTTTTTATCGATTATACTCTCTTATGCCATAAATGTTTGAAAACTTGATTGGGAGAGAGTGTGCTTTTAGAGTGATTGTGACCGATGATTTAGCATAATTTGACCACTAGGAGCCCTGTATGCATGCCCAAATTTTTTCAAATTTGAGGGCTCCAACTTGGCTCCTTTTGCATTTACCTACTCAATATGATTTGAATTAATAGATGATTGGTATGGTGTGCTCGCTAGGGAGTAGTTTCATGATTAGAGTACCGATGTATGAGAGATTTTACTCTCTTCTTCCTCTTTGGTGAGTCAAGAATGTTTACTGTTTCGGGAAGAACATGTGAGCGGAATTCCCCATCATTTTTAACTCTAAAATTCTACAAAGCATAGTGCTTGAGGTCTCTTGAATCGCTAAAAGGTACTTTGTAACTTGTCATACGATTCCGTGAGGAGGAAAGATGCTTGGGGGTGGTAAGTAGTGAAAGATGATCGGGATGCGGTAAAGCTATCCAATCACCAAAACATGTGTGGAACCCCAATTTGTAGTGCAGGCTGGGAAGTGGTGCTCGGGCTAAGACGAATCCGCCCATCAACTTCCCCACATGTGACCTTGATAGGGAAGGCAATGATTCATTCTCTCTTGGTCATGAAACACCCTAACCCGGACGGGTACTAATTTTACTAAAATTCCCTTGATAAATAAAATACTCAAATAATAAATTGCAGTGGAAAAGTAGTACCCGGCTGGGTTAGGGTGTTTCAGGTAATGAGGGAGAGATGCTTACTTGCAAGTAAGCTTGCAAAAGATTGGTGCAATGTGCATCAACGTGAAAATAAGAGACCAATAAATGAAAACTCTTAAATCAAAAGAAAAAATAAAGAGCACCCTCTAGAGTTCCTGTACTTAGTGGTTGTTGAGAAGTCCCTCGGCGCACACCTTTAATGTTCATACTAAGGTAGTAAATATGGTCCTCACCACGGAGTTTGTGCTTTCATAATGAGATGATAGTAACATTTTCTCGTCTCCGTTTACTCTTCTTTATGCAATGAAGAACTAGACTGCATCCCCCGTTGATTTGTTTATCAAGTTGCATTGGTTTGAGTAGGTTTGCTTGGGGACAAGCAAACGCCTAAGTGTGGGGGAGTTTGTCAACACCTAAAATAGGTTTTATTTAGCCCCTATTCTCAAGGCATTTTCATGTTAAATCACCGTGTCTAGGCCACATATAAGGTTATTTAGGCCTATTTTCGTTCCTATTTGCAAAACATCCATTTGGCATAGGTATTCTTGATATGAAGGTTTTCATAGGGGAACCGACCCTAATATGTTGTATTTTATGCTTTCCCAAGTGTTTGTGATGAAATTTCATATCTTATATGCATTCGAGATGGGAATCGATTGGAGCTCATCCGATCATGATTGGGAAGCATAGGAGGAAGAAGGGGAGAAGAGGCACTGGTCACAACCACAAGTCAAGGCCGTGACCACCAGGGCATGACCATGTTCGTGGGTTGAAGATAGCGGTCGTTCACAGTAGCCGTGAAATTCAGTAGACAATAAAAAAGAAGGCAAAAAATTTCCCCAGTCGGATAGCGGAAATGGCGCATTTTGATCGTGAAAAATCGTGCTCGGGACACATAGATCACGACCACGATCTTATGAAGGACGCCACAATCTCGGAGCTTAAAGACAGAGTCAAAATGTGTCGCTTTGGGCGATTTGGGGACGTTCCAGCTGGTCACGGCTAGGTCACAGCCGTGACCATCGCGTCTCGCCCTGGAGGCCTTGACCGCCATAAGCTTTCTATAAATACCCCTCTTGCTGCACTTTTCAAGAGAGAGCTGACCTAGAGTGAGAAAGTTAGGGTTTTTGGTTGTTTTTGAAGAGGGAAACACATTGGAAGAGCTTAATTAAAGATCCAATCCACCCAGGCAGCAAGAAGAAGGTGCAAGCAAGGAGAAGAAGATTGATTCCATCGCTCCCTCTCTTCTAGTTTGTGTTTTCTTTCTCTCTCTATGACTTGAATCTATAATGGTTGTGTACGAAAGATGAACCCTAGTTTATAGGTTGTGAATGAATGGGTTAGGTTTGCATGTGTTTATCTAGTTGATTTCATTGCTCCTCTAGCTTCAAATGTATTTGGGTAAGTCGCATTAATCTTCTCTACTAACCTACTTGAGATTCTATGCTGGGTATAGAGTTTTATAGTTCAAAGGGTATGCGCCATCAAGCAAATTAGGTTAAATGAATGAATAGGATCTTATGGTGGACGAGGTGACCGTACCTCTTCCATAGGAATGCCTTCATAGATAGAACCCGAGATGATCCTCAATGTGGACGCTGGGTAGTACCCATTAAAATGAGCTATCTTCTTAATGCCCCATATATAATAGCCTAGATCGAGGCGACTAGCATGGGTTTAGGGGAGGCGTATTCGGAGGCGTGTGGATAACCACAAAAACCCACGGAAAAGAGCTCACTCACCACATTCTCTTAACCCTACTTGACAATCATAGCTAGGAGGATTTGACTCTAGACAACCGTCTCATATCTAACAATCTCCCAACCACTTGGTTGGTTGTTTATTTTGCCTTTAAGAGTATATTAGATTAGTATAAACACCCAACGTTCCAATTCTGAGTGCATAGTAGTCATCTCGCACGAAATGGCACATTGCCAATTTCCCATAATGACATGGTCTTCTTTTTCCATAAGGAAACCCTAGCATTATAGCCGCTAGTTTAACTTTCTCTCAAGAGAGCAGAGGAAAGCACATCAGTGATCAAATCATTTGTACAACTTTCTAGGTTCACACCTTTGAAAGGAAAGCTTTGAACCATTTCAACTAAAGGTCGGAGGACGGAGGCGCAACAACTTGTTTTGTATTTTAGAGTGAGCCGAATGGAAGATTGGAAGTACGATTAGGAGTGGTTGGGAACCAAGAATGAAACTATCAAAGTGATGCGAGCAGAAATGATGTTTTCCGGATACTTTATGTATCACTCTGTCATTTAAGCAGAGGTTAAGCAATGGTAGACTTGCAATTGAATCCTGGTTCGACAAGGACTGGACAGAAGAAGGAAGAAGAAGGAAACGTTTGCAATTTAGAACTTTTAATACAGAACAACCATCGTCGCTTTGGCCGAGTGGTTAAGGCGCTTGCCTGCTAAGTAAGTGGGGTTTCCCCGCGTGAGTTCGAATCTCACAGGCGACGCATTTTTTTCCCTACTCTTTCTAGTTTTTACCCTCTACAAAATTTAAATCTCACCTAAATTTTCGTTTTTTGGTTGGACTCGACCAATCCAGAAGCAATCTCCATCAATCCTCCCTCCCAACCTCCCCCGTCGCCGGCCGTCGCCATTCCTCGCGCCGGCCTCAGTCTCGGTAATGAAAAGATCCAATCTTGGTCCTCGGTTTTTCTTCTCCGGCTCAAAGTTTTCACCTTTTTATTGTTTTTTTCTGATTGGGTAATAAATCCGATTTTGTTTGATTATTCTCTTCCCCAAATTGCAGCACCAATTCAATCGGATCTTCTATTCGCAGCTTGGGATCTCATCACAGTCTCCGGACGAGCAAATGGTAAGAGAGATCGAAACCCCCATATAGCTCAAAGCTTCTGTTTCTGAGAAATGGTCATTAGGGTTTTAATATCAGCTGGACAATTGATTGAATTCACGCATATGATTGCGAGTGGTTCTTCTTCATTTCATTGTTAGGTTTATCACTCTAGCTTCGTGGCCGACGATGGAGTTACAAGAGCTTGCGGCTGCCCGTTACTCCCTTTGAAATCACACATAAAGGGCCCTGCTCCAACTTCAGATCAAGGTTTGAAGTCTTTACTCATCCAAGGTCTGAAAGTTGTTTTCTACTCGTAATTCATTACAGTTCTTTTAAAAAGCGTTTACAGAAATAGGGATTGCTGCTTCTTAGTTTCCCATCCTTGATGTGGTTTTCTGCAGATACAACTGATATAGTCGATGAAGCTATCACCTTTTTTCGTGCTAATGTGTTCTTTAGAAACTTCGACATCAAGAGCCCTGCCGATAAGCTTCTCATCTACTTGACCTTCTACATTAACGTGGCGTTGAAGCGCTTAGAAGGGTGCAGGACGTTAGCTGTAGGCACGAAAGCCATTATTAACCTGGGGTTGGAGAATGTTCCGGTCCCTGGAGAATCCGGTTTCCCCTTTCCCGGGCTGTTCATTGAACCTCAGTCTCACAGTGAAGCAGGTGAAATTCGGTTACTTTCTCAATATCATTACACTGCTCTGAATTGTTAAGCATCAGAGCTTACTATTTGATTTCGTGGGTAAATTGGTCGAGGTGGAATTACCATAGTACTGAATCTCCCACCCTTGAATTTGATTTTAGCAGGTTTTACGATTTTACTCAACCAGATATAGTTTTGCATAGAATCTTATGGTTTTACTAGTGAAATTGACTCATTGAATCATTGGTAGAATATATGCCTTTGAACTGACGAATCTTGGTATATGCTGAATGCTGATTTGTGTTATGCTAATGTGAGCCGACGAATCTTGGCTGTTGAAACGTGATGAATGCAGAGCTGTTTAGGGATTACCTGAAGCAGATAAGGGAAGAAACGAGCGGGAGGCTATTGAGCGTTGCGTATCGTGTCAATGGGACTCCAAACAAGTGGTGGCTGGCGTTTGCAAAGAGGAAGTTCATGAATGTCATTGCTCTTTGATGCAGCGCTTTTTTCCCCCCTGGCGCCTGGCAATTGTAGCTTGTTGTGAATTGAGCAACGAGGTTGCCATTTGCAGGGCGCAGCATTGTTTGTTGGTTTCGTGAAATGTAGTATATATATCATTGTTCATTGTGTAATCTGTTCCGGAATAAATCTGATCTTGTGGTGTAGAAAGTTTCACTTCAGTCACAAATCAAACTGATGATGATGAGTAAGTATCTCATAGGCATCATGAATCCAACCTTCACCAGTTTCAGCAGCATCTCATGGTACCCTTGGTATCCTTCTTTGTCCGCGTCCATGAATGCAATGTAGAGAAAGTTTCGTACTTATTAGCTTGGTATTTACAAGAGGAAAGTACTCAAGTAGTATTTATATGAACTCGCTTCATTTATGCTTTGAAGAAGTTGATTCAATACAAGAGCAGCAGGGGAGTGAATGAAGTTTAATTTTGTGAGCCATCCCTGCCATTTGGATTTAGGGCAATCCAACTTCATACTCATATGCTTCTTTGTCGGTGTAAATGGCTGTTATCTATTCGTATTTTTTAGAGTGAAACGCCTAATGATGAACAGTGATGACATTGTTATAGATCAAGATAAAAGCATAGAGGATTAAAGGTAAAACGATGAAAGTAAATCTGAAATGTGAATTATGACTAGACCATCTTCAAGCATTGCGTGGGTGAGTTTTAAACTATTACATTTCATACATTTTCCAGGTTTTTCTATATTTTTCTATGAATTTCATGAGTATTTGATTAATCAAGGATGATTTGGATCACCCATTGGATAAAGTTGGAGGACTAAATGGTTAAACTCTAGAAGATTAAAGAGGTTTCCCTATATCAAACGAAGTCCAAATGACCTGAAATCCTAGTTGGAGTCGTTTAAGTCAAAGAGAAGCTTGCTAGACAAAAATTCGAACGAATTAAGATAGCCCCACCACAGCGGGTCCTACCGCTAGGACGAGCAAGCCCAAATATGGTCCAAATTCATCTAGGAGCTTGCTTGGGATCCAAGCACCCAAGATCCTGAAGAAACCCACGACGGGTCCAACCGTCAAGTGGCCGCCGCCAATCCTAAGGTTCTAAAATCTTCTTTCTTCACCCCAAGTCAAGGAATCTGAGTTTAAGTAACAGAATGAAGCTGTTAACCGAGTTCATGAAGGAACAACCCCACAAAACCCTTTCTTACATTGTAAGATAAATAAATTATTAGGGTAGACTTTCAGGAAAAAAATACCAAAAACACCCTAGAAGACACAAGGTGAAGGCTCGAAGCTTGAACCCTTTAGTAGGTGGGGATTAACATATCTTCATATGAAGTTCTGGCCTTTCCTTGTAAGGAGGTTTTCCATCAGTTCGATCTTGTTAACATCCATTCGAGAGACAAAGTTATGCATGAGCTCGATGGAGATGCATTCATCAATGATGGTGATGTAATCTCTTTCTCTCTTATGGCTAGCGAAAGGCTTTGTTGTTATGCATCATTTTCAATGATTTAATGAGATGCCTATGTTATTTCATGCCTTAATCATCTATTATGCGTTATCTTGGTTTTGCTTATAATCTCATCATAAGTTCTTCTATTATGCCTATGTTATTTCATGCCTTAATCATCTATTATGCGTTACATGGTATACTATTAGCTTATGCATGTGTGCATTGAATGTACAACCTTTCATACTTGTACATGATCAATGCTTGCTAGCTAGATCACCAAAGTCAAGAACCAATGTTATGTGGTCTGGAGGCCCTAAATAGCAACGAGTTATCCATACTTTGTTCTTGATTGATTAGTTAGTGGCATGAATGCATGTCATTAATGAGTTATTAGTACATACATGATCATCTAGATGAAACTACCTAAATCATATATAAATTGCTTGCTTTAATCCTTGTTCAATCTACTTGCTTTTGTTATTTTCATTGCTTAATTAGATAGGAAATCATCCAACATTCGGGAACTTTAACCCATTGTGTTTACTTTTTATTGCATTTCAATTCAAGCACAAGTGATTAGTTTCAAAGGAACCGTCTTTTGCAGTCTAAGAGTGTGTTCGACCACCAAAGATGAGCTTATAGGGGCATCAAAAGGCTTCAAAATGACTTGATCTAAAGGGGTAGAGGAAAGTCCAACTTAATCTCGACGAAACTACAACTATTCAGATCATCAAGAATGTTAGAAGTAGAAGACCACCAACATGGCCTTATGACCCAATGGATCGGGTATCAATTAAGGAGACATTGGGATGCCAAAATGTGCCAAGTATATAAAGAACAAATTTTGTTGTCGATTATTTAGCTAGTAAAGGTCACGACTTCATTTTATGACACACATCTCTTTCGATTTGAACTACCCGAGGCATCTGACTGTTGGATGATGTAAACGATCATTGGCCATATGATGTTTTAGTTATTAGTAACACGAGAGACCCAAATAAAGATTTACTTAAAATGGTGGATCGATTCGCCTACACCACAATTTGGGACAAAATGTCATCTGATGATAATATGGAATCTTCAATACGCAAAATGGGACAACAGAAGCAGTCAGCCTGTGATGTTGTGTTCTTCTATGTGTGTGACTACCACACGTGTGCAGTCAGTCTCAGCTTTATCTCTTTCAGAAGTAGACGTGTAGATTCTTTTTCTTTTGCCTCTCCCTTGGCCCTTGAATGCTCTATCTTTTGTATTGTTTCCAAGAAATTAAAAGTCTTTCCTTTTGGTACATATTCTTTCCCTTTTGCTCTTTTTCACCCCCTGTAGTTTTTCCCTTTTATTTTATAGTGCTTGTTGATCTCTTCTTTTCACCCAAACCGGCATTCTTCTCTTCATTCTCACTGTGGGGAAATTCACGATTGTGTCTTCTTCAGCTACCCACCTGATGTCGATGGAAAATAGTGTGAGTAGAGCGGTGGAAATTAAAATAGCATCACGTGTACATAACTTTTCTCCACTAATAAAGCAATGAAGTTCAAGAGCAACAAACGGCTCGAATTGCCTAACCTAGATAGCCCTAAAATTGACCAAACATACTCTATAGGGAGGATTCCTAATTATATTAAAGTATGCCAATTTAAAAAAACATGTGAAACCCTAGTTAATTTACTAGTATATTTTCCCATTTGCACACCACTCGGTCAAAGATTTGTTTCCTCCAATGCATTATTATTATTAGATCAGTCAAATAAAGAAGGAATATAATTCACCTTTCACTGCTTTTTATATGTAATTAATTTACCGAGTAGAACATAGGTCCTCATTCTCTAAATCATATAAATTAAGATTAATTTAATTAGAAACAATAATCGACAGTTCTGATTCGTTGAAATACATCCAACACACTGAATGCATCATTTTAGAATCTAGAGTGCAAGCTATAAAGAACTAGCTAGTACATACGGTTCACTCATCAAAAGTTGAATATAAATTTAGTTAGTTCGAGATTTAGATAGCCAGTTATTTTATTTTATACCAAAGAAAGGGAATTTGATAAATTGGGTGGCTTGATAATAGGAAATGAGTAATTTGGGGGTAGAGAGAGTCACATGGATATGCATTGGGGGATGAAGATAGTTGGTCATGGGAAAGGATCACTTTGGTTTTGTCTTTCTCTTCCTGTCTTTGAATGCATGCATGTGCCTATCTATACTATACATGGAAGGAGAGATATGGGGTTGTAGTTTTACATAGCTTGACCCAATAAAAAAATACAGGACAATTAGTTCTATTCTTTGATATTAGAAATACAAAGAATTTTTCAAAATATGTGTAGCAATATTTGAACTAGGGATAATTTTGTGTGTCCTTCAGAGAAGTTAAATAAAAAAAAAAGAGTGTACCTGAATTGAGTGACAAAATGGTGTAAGAAAATGGAAGCCTCAAGTCTAGCTAAGTCAACTCCAGGGCATAGTCTTTGTCCACCGCCGAAAGGAGTGAAGTTGTTATTGCTCACGTCTTTATCCTGCATTTCATAAGATCAAGATCGTCAGTAAATTTCTAACCTAGCTAACTTGATTTCCATAAGATATTTATCACATTTCTCATTTTTCATATAGAGTTAAACCCGAAATTTCAGAACATTTTCACTAGATCCATCTCTTTTTGTTCGTAAATGAATACTACAAATAATGTATGTCGCTCGCTAGATATGTGTTGTAGAGACTTACTTGCCATCGCCATGGATTGAAGTGGTAAGGTTGGTCGTAGTGATTGTCATCAAGATGAACAGATCGAAGGTAGGCCAAAACGGACCAGCCCTTTGGTATCAAGTGACCTTTGATCTCCACGTCTTTCATGGCCTTCCTCATAACACCTATTATAATGTTCCCCATCCTCAATGTTTCAGTGATCACCTATATATGTTTTTTGTTTTGTTTGGGCAAGAAGTAGAAATTAGTCATTATCATCTCTATAGAGAAATTAGCAATAGTCATTATCATGTCTATATAGAAATATGTCTATAGTACTCTTGGGGATAGTTTCATATGCATACAAAGGTTGACAATAATTTTCAATTCGATAAGTATAATATATATGAATTTGAATCGGTTATTTACCGGAAATGATCAAATATATATGTACATCTATAATACCCCTCGATTTTAAAGTTTTTAACCTGTCATTTTGATCACCGGTTCATCTTAAAAGAATATCAATTTTCGACAGTATGACAATTAACAATAAATAAATATGAATTTATGCAAAACTAGTATTTATATTTTTTTATAGTTTAAGTATTTCTGAAACATGTTCTATTCCACTTCAGAAATTCGTCTCTGGGGAAAAACAAAGTTTCATAAATTCATCTAATGATGACACTACGAGGACAAAAAAGTATATGAATTAATTAGTTGTAATCCAAAAATAAATATCATCATATTAAGTAAATGTAAGTTACTTGATTTTTAAAAATTTGATGATTAAATTCTAAGTTTGGACTAGTACTGTATATCACATAATGATAATGATTCATGGACAAATAATGAATGCTTACTGTTTGTGTAAATGGTAAGGAGGACAAATAATCACTCCAAAACAAGGGCTCCCCAAGCTGAGCTTTCAGACTTTTCAACTTCAAGTTCTCCTCCTGTGAAAACCAACAAAAAACCATTAATAATTTTCGTTTTTTTTTTCCTTTTGTCTTCTCTAATTATGACTATTGTTTACATAGTTGATCGTTATCATAGGACAAATGTCATAAAAGGATATAGAAAATTATGTCGAACTTATAATGAATTCAATAGCTAGCAACAATCACGAATGAGATATTTCTAAAATATATGATTTTTTAGACACTGAGATATTTCTATAAAGATTATAAATTATATTGAGTTTAGTGTATGATGCATCCTCTAATGAATAAACATCATACTCCAATTATCTAACTTAAACCCGAATACCAATTTAATAAATTTTTATTGGTCCAACTACAATGAAGTACATCCAATAAT